TGTGTGTGTGTGTGTGTGTGTGTGTGTGGCCAGTTCAGCCCACCAGGGGGCGGGGCTGGCTGGCATGTGGTGCTGGGGGATTGAACCGCGGTCTCTGTGCTTTAGCTTAGCTTGTTCTAGGTAGGTGCTTTAGACCACTGAGCCATCTCACCAGCCCTGGCCGGCCCTTTTAAAACGTTTAAGATGCAATCTTTAATGTGCATTAAACATTGATTATTTTAAAAAAGCTTTACTAACCCTAAGCCAGTACATCAACGTTTTGAAAGAAAATTATGCATTTTTTATAGACATGAATAGCTCTACTCATATTTTTAAAATATCTTCGGTACCCAACTTAGCAAGACAATTATTTGGATTCTCCTGTGAACTCCAGTATTCCAGATGTTGTAGTATATTGTTTTGGTTTAAGCATATGAAGAAAAATCTTGCTTAATTGAACCCAGGTCCTTGTGCTAGCCAGGCAGGTGCTAGGCCACTGAGCTATCTCCCCAGCCCTGTCTTTGTCTTTTTGAGACAGGGGTTTGCTATCTGTTCACAGCCTAGGGTGGCAGAGAACCCCCAGGGATCACCCTGCCTCACCCTCCCTAGTTCGGGGGTTGTATGTGTGCACCACACCACCATGCCCAGTGAGACGAGATCTCATTATGATGCTAACTCTGGCCTCTTCCTCCTCAAGCCATCCGTCCTCAGCCTCCAAGTGGCCGGGACTACAGGTGCATGCCAGTGTGCCCCGATTCACAAATGGCAGTTCCTTAATATGGAGTCAGAAATTATATCGATGTCCTGTTTAAATTCTGTTATATTAAGCCATTGGTCTGTATTACACGCTGACCCGATTTTATTTTCATGCATGATTTTGCGACTGCATGCTTTGGTTGCTTGGAACAGTTTTACTTACTGAATTACTTGCCTGTAAATGTTGATGTATTTATTATTTATTAGCAAGAAAATCACAAACATTAACTTCTCCAATCAAGTTAGAAGTTTTTAAGGACTGAGAAACTAGATGCTTTTTTAAACAAAAATTTTTACTTGAAAGTTATATTTTACCACTTAAAACAAGTGTTTTGAGCTGTATTCTTGAAGTGGCATGCTCAATTTGTTCAGTCTTGAAAGGATGCCGGCCAAAATAGTCAAATAATTGCCCAAGGGCGCCATTCCTCGACACAGTGTTGTCCTTTGATATGCAGAGGTGCCCTATGTACACTCCCTGTTCTGTCACATTGGACAGTGAAAGGATATGTCCGGTAGGTAGGGGTGAGTATTCATAAAATGACAATTTTTACCTCTTCCAGAGGGCTCTGTTATGTGAAGCTGGCTCCTCCCGCCCCCCCGCTGGCCCCACCCCTAAGCCAGTGCGGGTCACCTCTCCTGCCACTGCCCCACTGAGGCGCATAAGCTTCCATCATCACAGTTAGTTCGTACACAATGTGTCCTGTGAAAAAGGCAGCTGATGTCCTCTTATGAACATAGATTGAGCCTCACAGATCTCAAAGGAGTTCTGGGGACCCGTGAAAAGTCCAGCCATCACACTTTCTTGAAACCACTGGTACAGAGGAAAGGGCTTGGAAACAGCCTTTGTATTCCAACTCGGTATTCATGTGCAAGCTGTGTCTTTAGCCAAGTTTCGACGCTGCTCATGGAGCATAGAGCTGAGGTTAGAAACAGCTGAGCCTGTCTGTCCCTGTGAAACAGGATCTGCAGAGGAGACCCGAAGAGCTCGAGGAACTCTATTCCTTAGAGGTGTGTTTTCCTAAGGCTGAGAAATTGAAGCAAGATGCTGGATCACTTGCTCAGGTAAGACCCGCCTCTTTTTTTGAACTAATGCTTCTGTGAAGAGGACATTGGAGTCTGAGACCCATTCTGATCCTGAGAAACTGTAAATTTATCCATCTCCCCCGCCCAAAGAATCAAGGGCCTATTCTAAGTAAATTGAGACAACTTTGCAGAGAGCTACATATCAGCCAGGATATACTGGAAACATCTATATCTCTTGACTTTGAGTCACTGGAGCCAGACACAGGCAGAGCTAGTTTCATTGTTGGTCACATGATCGCCCTTTACCCATAATGCATTTTTCACAAATTGGGGGGATTGTGCACACCTGTGCCTCGCAAATCTACAGGCGCCATTTTATTCCACAGCATATGCTCCTTATTTGTACCACAATTCTCATAATATTTAAAGCTTTTTCATTATTAGTAACTATATCTGTTAGGGCGATGTGTGAACGATGATCTTTACTGTGACAATTGTAATCATTTGGAGCTGAACAAATCGCGTGCATCTTAGGTGGTACCCTGAATGGGTAAATGTGTGACCACCAACTGCCCAGCCCATCTGCATCCCGCCCCCTACGTGCTTGGGTCTCCGAACTCCCTGACACGCAGCGGTATTGAAATTAGGCCAGTTAAGAACCTGTCAGGGCCTCTGTGTACTCAAGTAAAAGGAGGATTTGTACGTAGGTCCCTGGCTTCAAATCAAAAGCTAGAAACGGTCAAGCTTAGTGAGCGTTATGGCTAGCGCCTACCTATCACCCCAAAACTCCATGTAATCCTAAGTGAAGCTTTTCAGAGGTGGCTGGATCTAGGGTGCGTGACTGTGGATTAAGGGTGTGTGGTTCCTAAATTAGCCCACTGATTGGTTTAGCATGGTTCTGGGTGAGGATGAAGGGAAGGCCCACCCTGGGTGTGGGAGGCACCAGCCAACAGGCTTGTAGCTTGGATGGAATAAAAAGGGAAGGGGAAGGCTGGAGCTTCTGCCTAGTCATGCCTTCTGCCATGTCTTGGAGCCCGCTGACCATGGACTGACACCTCTACACACTTAAGACCTGAAATCAAACTTTCTTCCTTCAGCTTGTGGGTATCAGAAATTTTCTCTCAGCAGTGAGAAAGTAACTAAGAGGGTGAGGAAGTTTTGTTCAAAGCTGGAAAAGGTTGAAAACTATCCAAACCACCCTGCTAAGAATGAAGAGGAAAAGCTTTATGATTTTTGTTTAGTTTTGGGCTTTTTTTTTTTGTTTTGTTTTTTGAGGCAGTGTCTCACTTTGTCATATCATGCTGGCCTTGCACTCACTTTGTAGCCCAGGCTGGCTTCAAACCTGCATCAATCCTCCTGCCTCAGCCTCCCAAGTGCTGGGATACAGGTATGTGCCACCATGCCAGCATAACAGGAAAAGTTTTTCAGGGACGTTGGAAGTGCTACTCCTGTGAACACACCAGTGAAAGAAAGCTCTCAGCCCTGCTGCTGACGTGTAGAAATGTCAGTCATTGGGACAGAAGACCAAACCAGCCACTCCATTTCCTTAAGCCGAAGCCCGCTCCAGAGCAAGTCTGTGACGCTCTGCAGTTCTCTGAAGGCTGGGGGCAGTGAGGCCACAGAAGAAGTCTGAAGCTGGCAGAGGTTGGTTCGCGAGCTTTGTCTTTATGATATGAGTGTGTGTTAAATAAAATTCTTGGGAAGCCATGAATCTGGGCTGAGCACTCACGCTCAGCTCAAGTGACCAAACCACTACAGTTTCATGCCGGTAACTGAACCTTGGTTGGTTTTAGAGGAACCTGTAGCCTATTAACTAAATAATTGGCTGATTGTTGAAGCCAGTGAAGTTGTTTTCTATGATTTGGTTTCTTCTGTCTGTTTTTAGATGGGCTCATGCTATGCAGTTCAGGCTAGCCTCAAACTCTAGCCCAAGGTGGCCTCAAACTCTTGAAGGCCCTCCTGCCTCAGCCTTCTAGGTGCTGGGACTACAGGCATGTGCCCCCACACCTGACCTTAATTTTAATTTTCTTATAGGTATTTACTAATAGGTTGTTGATTTGAATTCTTGGAACGTTCCCTGACCTTGGAAACAGTGAGATTCATGGGTTATTTTTTTCTTTTTTCTCATATAAACCCTGCTAAACCTAACTGGGCTAAGGAATGGTCCCTTTGGTGTACTTGTTTGAATCTAAAGCAGAACTTCCCTGACTGACCCTGGAAGCATTCTGCACCCAGGCATAGGTCGTGTTCATCATGGGACAGGGTGTGAGGAGGTTCCCAGGGAGCAGATCCAAGGTCCCTAGCCCCCGCAGCCTGTAGAACAGGATTTCACGTTCACTGACTCCCTGTAGGGAAGAAGGAAGCCCAAGAGGGCTGTACAGTGGGGTCAGGAGGTGAAGGGGCTTCCAGGAGCAAGCAGGCTCCCCGTGCAAGTGCGCCCCCTACCGTCCCTGTGTGAATGCCTTGCATAACCAGGTCAGTCCTGGGAAAGAACCACTGCTGTGGGCACCACTCGTGGACTGCTAGGGTGTAGACAGAGATGACTCCCCTGCTGACCCTCAAATCTGTGGACTCTCTGAGTCTTTGAGCAAAACTCCCATCAAAGAAAGGAAATGTTCAGGGAACATCAGTAAGGGGTGGGGTGAGCTTCTCGGGCAGGCTTTGCTGTACCCTCTCAGAGAAATGGAGGACAGGCTTGAGACAGAAGAGGGGGGCTTCAATTTGCAACTGGAATAGTGATGTGTTTCTAGTGTTGGAAATGTGTGGCTTTTGCTCGTCTATGTTTTGGTCTTGGTCTGATAGGGGGAAGATTTCAGGTGGTGGCCTAGCTTACTGGTGAAGAGGTGGTGTGAGGTGGACATCTCTGGAGGCTTGGTTTGGTGGGTAGGGAAGGATGGCCACCCACAGTAAGAGCCTCTTTAGACTGTGGGTGGGGCTTGTTTATGGGTGAGAAGGTGGTGGAGTCCCAGTTTAAAGGACTGTTTGCAAGCAAAATGGCAATGGCTGAACCATTGGTAGGAGAAACGGAATTGCCTAGGCTTACTGTGTTCTGGGAGAAAAAAAGAGAAAAATAAATGGGACTTGTGTCTTACTGTGTGTGTGTGTGTGTGTGTGTGTGTGTGTGTGTGTGTGTGTTGTGCTGGCAGGCAAACTCACAGCCTCATGAGCGCAAAGCTGTACCACTGAGCCACATCCCCAGCCCAGGGACTTGTGCCTTCCAACTGTAATTGTCATCTTTATTTTGTCATTTTGGGACAGTCTTGCAAGTAGTTCAAGCTAATCTTGAGCTCACTGGGATCCTCCTGCCTCAGCCTCCTAGTGCTGGGATTACAGATGTGCACCACTAGAGCCAGCTCATTTCTAAAATATTCTCGCTCTCTCTCTCTCTCTCTCTCTCTCTCTCTCTCTCTCTCTCTGGCTTGCTCTCTCTGGCTGGCTCTCTCGCTCTCTGTGGCTCCCTCGCTCTGGCTCCCTCGCTCTGGCTCTCTTGATTTGGATTCTACCCTACCTCATTACCAAGGCCTGGTTTGTACTGTGAGCTGCTTGGGGTTCATGGTAGCTGCTGGATCGATTCAGAAATGAGACTAGTCTATTATTCCTCCATTTGGAATTCTAGCCAGTTTCATGAATAAGAATCCTCAGAATTTATAGTTACTTTTAGAGAAATGAGTGAATCTGACTAGGAAATAAATTGGAATTTCAATATGCACCATTAGGAAGTTTTAATTCAGAGAGTTTGCTTGGTTGCAGAGCAGATAACATACATTGCAAAAAAAAAAAAATTGAAAAATTCAGAAACAATGGGAAACACATGTTTTACCCAGCACCAGAGGCATTTACAAGACTAAGGTGGGGGAAGGGGAAAGGCTATTATAGTTGAGCTATTAGATCAGAGGCCTGTACTTTTTAAACTACTTTCATGCCTTGATTACAAGACTCAAGCTTAGAATGATAAACTGCCACAGTCTGTGATGGAAAATGCTTGTTGCACCCCATGTACTAATGGGCACCACCCTGAACTCAGTAACTTATTGACAAGAACAAAGGCTGAGTTGTGAAGATGCCTGTTTTTCCTTTGAGTGGGCCTTAGAGCAGAAGATGGATTGGAACAAGGTCTGTGTGAGTACAATGAAATTACTCTTCTTGATAAAGGCTAATTCTCAGGGGCTTGGTAACAACTAAGTTCCTCCAGGGCTCTGTTAAAAGTCCTGTTCTACAGTGACACATTTTGGGGTGGTGTTTGTGAGACAGGAGATTAGGGTGAATCAAAACTGGCTGGGGCAGTAGGTGTGACTTGTTAATTACAAAATCCCAGGATGTAGGCCCAAAGCAGTTCTCAGGTGCCTGGGTTGCAGGCAGCTGAGTTAGATAGAAATATTATAGGCAGTTAGACAGGGCCAGGACCGTGAAGGACCCACTATGGAAGACAGGATACCTTGTACCTGTGGGGCAGACCTCAAGACAGAAAATTAAACAAATGCAGCCATATACCTCCCTAGGGATGGATATCAGGGGTATCAATCCCTCCCTAGGGATTGATATTCTAAATAGGTATCAATCACCTTGAAAAGGCCAGGAAGAGCTGTGAACCCAATCCCCTACAGGAGTTTTATGCCCACTTGCTACCTGACTTTTCCCCATTTGACCCCTATATAATCAATTTTAGCTGAGCAATGGTGCTTGTAATCTTACTGGTTGACCACAGTTTTATACCACCCCATGCCCATCTAGTGAATTCCCATGTTTACCACCTTAGATTGGCCTCACCTGGTGGATTTGCTCTATAAAAACACCTAGAAAAGGCGGGGTACTTTTCAACCCACTCAGGTCCCCTTCTATCCCTCTCTCAGACAGAAGCTTTCTTTCCCCCAGTAAATATGTTTTCCTCTTTTTTTTTTTTTATCTTTCCCCAGAACCAGGAATTGAACTCAGACCCTTGTGCTTGCCGGGCAAGAACTTATTCCACTAAGCCATCTCCCCAGCCCTATATTTTGCTCTTAACCTCCGTTGTTCCTAACATTTAATCTTTGGTTTTAGAG